CGCCACATTGCACAGAGCTATTGGTCTCCAATCCCCCATGTTTTCAGGTTTTTCCTTCTTAGGAATTAAGACAATATTGGTAACATTCAGTTCAGGATCAATGGTACCTAAATTAAAGTTGTCCCTGCACAGCATAATGATCTCCGGTCCCACGATCCCCCAATACTTTTGAAAGAAAGTCGGGTTCATTCCATCCACTCTTGGAGCCTTATCTGGATGCATATCAAACGCCGCTAACCTGACCTCCTCGGCCAAGATCGGCTGCAGCAGTGCCATATTACTTGTTGCACTCACTTGCACCATCAGTCCCAACAAATCAGCTGCCACCTCCCTCCTTGGTTCTTCAGAAATTCATGTAAAGTAATCAAGAATTATATCGGCCACCATATTCCTGTCCGTAACCCAAACCCCATCCTCCCTCCTTAACCCCATAATCTTATTCTTCCTTCGCCTTGCTTTGACCACGTTATGAAAAAAATTGGAATTAATATCACCCCCCTTGAGCCAAAACTCCTTTGCCCGCTGCTTCCAATACATATTTTCTTTTTCCAATAAATCACAGACCACCACCTGAAGCCGAACAAATTCTACCCCACTTTGTGCATCATTCCGCCCACGTAGCCATGCAATCCATTTTTTACATGCTTGAATTTGATGTCTGAATCCCTTAACTCGGCTGCCATCCCACCTTAATAAACTATTTTCCGCAAAAATTTAATCTGCCACAGAAATTTGATCGGCATGTTCTCTCCTTCTCGCCAACTATTAGCCACAATGGTTCTACATTCATCCTCCCTTAGCTAGTTATTTTCAAAACGAAACTTCTTTGGCACCTTCCCATGAACAGTTGGTTTGATCTTCAGATGCAGAGCCATATGATCACTAGTTGGTGCTTCCACCGAAGATGCTCTAGCTTCCATGAAATTATTCCACCAAAGATCATTGACCAGAATACGACCAAGATTCTCTTCCACCCCATTGATCGTTCCTGGACCCCTATTCCACGTTAACTGATATCCCTCAAACGGGAAATCTCGTAAGCCATTTGAAAAAATTGCCTCCTGAAAACCCCGTATCCACCATGGTGGATGAACTACACGTCCTTTCTTTTCCGAATCATACAGGATAACGTTCATATAACCCATAACCAACCAAGGTATATCACTATTAGCCGCCAGCCTCTTCAAAAGATCCCAGGTTGCTCGTCGCCTCACCGTCTCTGGGAATCCAAAGAAGCCCGTGAATCTTTAGGTCAGTTCTTCTGTCAGCAAACAGACCTGGCCGTCTATAAAGTTAGATTGAATCTCTGTTATCGTGACATCAACCTCTTCGTTCCAACCTAGAATTACCCCCCCCCCCCCCCCCCCCCACTCTGACCTTCCGCATCAGAACCTTCGGCGTTAACAAAGCATAATGTACGGAGAACATCTTTTGCCCGCTGACACCTAAGCTTTGTTTCCATCAACAATATTATAGAGGGTCGGTATTGTTGCACCAAGTCAGTCAAACACTGGATTGTGGCCAAGTTGCCTAAACCTCTGCAATTCCATGACAGCACGCTCATTGATCAGCCCGTCATCGAAGAAACAGGAAAACAAAACTTTCCTTCACACGTACTGGAAACCTTCGCACCAAGCTTCGATCGAGGGAACGAAACAAAAACAATAACGGATGTCTTCCACACAATCCAAAATAATCATCCAACAAAAAAGGACTCGGAGACGCGGGTGAGCGCCGACTCCGGACAAACCCTAGACCGGCCTAGGCGGCGGTGCTAGAGAGAAGTATTAAACTACATGCAACTTTGAATTTCTCACGCGATTCCATTAGGTTATGAAACAAGTTTAATATTTTTTTATAAAGCCAAATGTTTAACTATTACAACTTCTTAAATTACTTCTCAGTTTTCAGCATAAGAACACTTCTCACCTGATCCGCTCCCTATATATATATATATATATATATATATATATATATATATATATATATATATATATATATATATATATATACACAATAGAGATCAAATACAAACCATGCTTAATTTACAAAGTACAAACTTATCTTGACCATCCGATGAGTTGATCTAAAGGATATAAAGGCAAGGTGGCATTTTTGTAATAAAACCTAACTTTTCTAAGGTGCAACTCGTTGAACGTTAATGTGCAACTGCTATTTTATGACTATATAATATGCAACGCTTTGAACCTCAATATGCAATGCAAATAACGTCAAGGTGCATCGTACAAACATTTGCACAATAAGCACAGTTTGTACTTGATCTTTCCCCTATATATATATATGTTCAACTTTAACCACATATTTGCATATATGATGAAATCTATTTGTAGATTAAGATAAAAATCATATGCGGAGTACGTTTTTATATATATCCTTCAATTTTCGCAATCCTTAAATTTAATACGAAGTATTTATTACGTAGTATTACATAATGTGGTTAATTGATTATATGTGACAATTCTGTTATGCATATATCTTAATTTGTGTGTATAAAAACAAACACAAAAACAATAATACTTATCGTATTCATGTAAATTTTTTGATAAAATATCATTTATATACCAATTACATGAATTTAGACAAAATATCATTCCTGTACAAATATCATATTGAGAACTCTTCAAATGGCGTATAGCACGCCAACTGGTAACCACTAATACATTTTAACTTTAATTTTTGTTAAAGCATTTTAACTTTATACGGAGTATATAAGGAATATCGCACTTTTAGTCCCTGGAATAGTCACGAAAATGAAATGTCGGACCCGTATTCCCAAATTTGTAAATGTCGTTCCTCAATAGTCCTAAATGCTTTAAATGTGGTCCTTTGAGGAGTGAAATATACAATGTGGGCGAGAGTACATTTTACCATTTAAAGAACCACATTTACAACAATTGGGACAATTGAGGGATGACATTTACAATATCAGAAATACGGGTCCGACATTTTATTTTTGTGACTATTTCAGGGACTAAAAATGCGATCTTCCCGAGTATATATTATTCTTAATACGAAGTATTTCCTGGCATGAGCCGTATTCCGGTATCACGTGCTCAATAAGGAGCACAGAACGTGCTCAATAAAATTTTTGCACTTTGGGCAGCAGTAAGCCAGTAAGAGTTTAAAATATCACTCACACACGCACACTACACATATAATAGATGGGAAATTTATTAGAATATGACTAAAACTGAATGAGTTTCTCAATCTATGACCTAACTAGTTTTTATACTTATCTATGACCGAAAATCCAAATAAATAAATAATTCTCGTTTTTATTTAAAGGTTAAATGACAAAAATACCCTTATTTAAAATATGTGCATTTTGCACTAATTTCATCCAATTAAAATTACTGCACTTTATATTGCCGTTAATGCATTACATTAATGCACATCTTTACTGCACATTCGGTAATAATCACTGCACTTCCGCCAAAATTAATTCTCTTCTCATTTACTTGAGGAATTTATTTTTAGTTTTTTAGATTTAATAATTTTATTATTTTACGCTGAATTAAATATATTGCATTTCACGATGATATTACTGCTTTGTGTAACAGCAATACTGGTCATAATCAATTAATCACTGCACAACTAAATTATTAATGCATTCATTCACTGTCATGTACAACATGTCTATTACCATATACTACGTATATTCACTGCCCATATATACTCAACACTCGTTGAAATGTTCACTGCTGAAATTCAATGCTCATATTTAATGCCCACAAACCAAAAATTCAATATTTAAAATAGAAAAGTAAAAATTAAATGAAATGGTGGGCCGAGCAGATCCAAAAGTAGCGGATTCATTCTGCACACAATTGAAAAAATTCAAACCTAATTAATTTTAATTTTAATAGGAGCATTCGTCTACGGAAGATGGAGGCGGCAACTGGCGAGTTGGAGTGTTCATCAGTTTCACCCCGTGGAGGCGGACGTACAATCGTGCGTCTAGACGGAGGCGGCATGTTGGATCCGGAGTGCGGCTATGCAGATCGATAGCGGCGGCGGCTGGTTGGGGACGAAGGGCAGAACCGCAGAGGCTGATTGGGGATGAAGGGCGGCGCACAGATCTTAAGGCGGCGGCGGCACAGAGAGCTTGAGAGGCGGCGACGCACATGGTTCTCCAGCCATCTCTACTGGACAGGGGTGAGGCCGCTGGCAACCTTCGAGCCAAACATCGTGCGTGACTCCTGAGCGGCGAGCAGGCGGCGAGCAGGCGGCGAGCAGGCGGTTGTGCAGCGGGGAAAGTGGTGGCAGAGGTCGTACGGTGGTCGTGGGAGGGAGGGTGTGCCGCTGGAGGCCAGAGTTTAGGGTTGGAAAAAATGAGTAGAACATTAGGGTTTTATAGACATGTTCTAAAGGGTATATTAGTCCATGAATTTAATTTACTTATTTATTAATTACCAAATTAATTAAATATTAGAAATTTGAATATTATTTTGGGAATAAAACTAGTTATGTCATAGATGGAGAAACTCAGGTAGTTTTAGTCACACCCCAGCTAATTTTCTCATAATAGATCTCTTCCTCTCTATTAATTAGCTATACTTTCTCTCTAGAACACCAGTAGCATACTAGATTTGATTGAGTTCAATCATTTCATGATTATTATTATTATTACTATTATTATTATTATTATTATTATTATTATTATTATTATTATTATTATTATTATTATTATTATTATTATTATTATTATTATTATTATTATTATTATTATTATTATTATTATTATTATTATTATTATTATTATTATTATTATTATTATTATTATTATTATTATTATTATTATTATTATTATTATTATTATTATTATTATTATTATTATTATTATTGTTATTATTATTATTATTATTATTATTATTTCATTTTATACAATCTTTGTCTCCAAATTCATCACGCTTAAATATCTACAAGTATTGGAGCTTTTAAGATTTGCAAGGTATGCATATTGACTGATTGGCCCCGAAGAGCTGCAATTAGAGCATTCAAAAGCGCTTATAAATGTTGCAAAAGCTTTCCAAAATGGACCTAGGAGCAGGTGCACACGAAGTTCAGGAACATTAAGAGAGTTAAGTGAAGAAAAAATACAATATAGTAACTTCTAAAATTATTATTCGAGAACACCTAAGTAGTAAGTACACACACATTACAAGCTGGAATTACTGATGGATGACACCGAGAGGAACATGTTAAGGGAAAAACAGAACTATGACCTCCATGTACAAAGTTGGAGCAAAATGAAGGCATCCACTCAACTGCCTGCCTTGATTCTTTGAATCCTCAGGGGAACATGTTTCTCCAAAACAGACACGCTAACCCCGCTCCAAACATCAGACCTGGTAGGGAGTTGGGCGATTTTCTCAACAGTCTCCATGTCCAGAACAGAACCAAAGACAGTATAGGAATTTCTCCACTCTTGATGGTTTGCCAGACTGATAAAGAACTCGGGGCCTGAGCCAATCCACGCCACTGAACCTCGGGTCACGGTCGGGCAAAACTCAGTGGGAATGTTGTGAAATGTCACTCCTTGGGCCTCAAGAGTTCCTTGTACTAGAGCATAGGGTGGCCCGAAGGATGCCTGAGGATTATTTTTAGAAAGAAAAAAGTGGTTAATTGAATCTACTTCCCTCGGCGCTTGGACGAATTACCACGTGATCCTTGAACAAGTTTACAAATAAGCTCTGTCACAAGTAAACATTTCTGTGAAGGACACTAAAAGATGATGATAAGGTAATATGATGCTGGTTAGTAGGATTGAGTTTTTTTGGGATTCTATTAGAGAAAGCTTCAAATACTTTAGCCTATAAAATGCATTGCAAAGCACCAAATTCAATCTGAGATCATGCAATTCTTGTTAATATCATCATCACATTATATCATCTTTCAGTGTTACAAGGATCCTTTGCGAAATATCTGACTGGTAAAGGGGGCCATTTATTATAGAAATATCGAGATTCATTGGGTAATTTGACCAACCCCTGGTGGGAGTGAATGTAATGAATCCTTACAAAAACCAATAAGATTGTTGGAAGATACAGAATATGTCATCATCTGGCTGCCAAAAGACAAACTGGATTCTGCTGAGATACAGTTTATCTGCTTGACCAATCTCAGCCAATGGATTGACGTTGGACCCATCACTTGGTGGGTCCTGCGAACCAACGGTGACCGAGAGGAGGGTCCAGAATCTGAACCAGCTCCGTGTTCACAACAAGGGAGTGTATGGAGCAAGAAATAAGGAACGGATAATAAGGTGGTCTTACATCTTTCATGTGATTTCCTTGTGAATCCCAAGCTTCCCCTCTACCTTCTGCACGATGGAATTGGCAGCCTGCACAGTGGCGGGACGCTAGCAACTCTAGGATGTACATTATTGAGTGTGGGGAGCATTCAGGCAATAGCTGCACAAATTCATGTTCTTTTACATGAAGGAGGAAAGAAGATTTATAAAAATGGACACAGTAAAATTGTACTAAAAAGTTAAAAAAATCAAAAGCCTTGTCATTTGTCAACAAACAAAAACATGGAAATGATACTCACAGACAATATAATGCAGATACAGAGGCAACTGATATTTCTCGTGTTTGGTTAAGAGGAGGAGGGAAGGAGAAAAAACAGGAAGGGGAAGGAACGCAATGAAGGTGGCTCAAAGAAAAATATTTAATTTGCTTCAACTGACTGCGGAGAAACTAGTATTCTGGAAAAATATGTATAAATACCGTATTAATACGCCCTCCTATTGAAATGGAGCCAAAGGTTCACAATGGAGCCAAAGATTCGCAACTGAAGCTGTATCAGTCGGGTGGATTGACTGAACTTAAGGATAAGACACTCCTAGTCAAAGAAAAAAATGTGGCATTGAAGAGGGGTAAGAGCAAGGAGATAGACAAACGAGGCTGGAAGGACAAGGGGATCCAGTCATCTAGATTCCAGTACGGGGCACCAGAACATCAGGGGAGGCTCCTGCAAACTAAGGCTCCAATGTTAGAGAAAGAAGCATCAGACAACAGAACAGAAGGGTCATCTGGTTTCAATAAAAACTGGAAAGGAGGACCCAGGTTATATCAAGCTGAACTCCGGGACAGAACTAGAAGAGGGCTGTGTTTCAAATGCGGGGAGATGAGTTAATTTCACAGACTTATCCATCAGTTAGAGAGAATCTGGACATGAGAAGTGTATGGGGGGGGGGCATTGAACAAAACAAGGGTTTCTTTAAAAACAATCAAGAAATCTATCTATATACAAAAGCAGGTGGAATAGTGTACAAGGATCGGCTCTGAGTCCTTTCTCATTTGTTATAGTCATGGATGAACTTACGAAGTCAATTCAAGAAAATATACCGTGGTGCACGATGTTTGCCGACGATATTGTATTGATTGATGAGACACAATCGGGTGTTAAAGCAAAGTTGGAAGTATGGTGACAAACATTGGAGACCAATGGTTTCAGACTGAGCCAAAGCAAGACTGAGTATATGGAGTGCAAGTTTGGTGTAGGTAGAAGTAGTAGCAGTGGAATTACTCTTGATGGTAAGGAGAAACCGATGTGTGACATGTTTCATTACTTGGGGTCCATAATTCAGAAGGATGAAGAATTAGATGGAGATGTATCCATAGAATCAGAGCTGGGTGGATGAAATGGAAGAGTGCATCATGATTTCTATGCGATCGAGGTATGCCGACTAGACTGAAAGATAATATCCTCTATAGAAACCCAATCACTTTCATCTGTTGTCCCCAATTTGGATGAAGATGGCCTAAACCTTCTTAGGGAGATGCTCACTATGAACCGTCAAGAAGAATGTCAACAAAGAAAGCTACTGGATGAACTGGGTAAGCCTGAGATTACTATACCTAATAAGTTCCGAATTGATAAGTTCTCAATTTCAGTGATTGAGGAACTACTGGATGAACTGGGTAAGCCTGAGATTATTTCCAAACTTGACTTAAAATCAAGATATCACAAGAACAGGATGAAGGAATCTGACATACCTAAGACAAATATGACACATGAAGGGCATTATGAGTATGTGGTGATTCCCTTTGGTGTGACTAATGCACCCTCTACCTTTCAAGCATTGATGAATCAGATCCTCAAACCCTATTTGAGGAAATTTGTATCGGTATTTTTTTATGATAATATGATATAGTGGTTTACAGTAGAAATTTGGAAGAGCACAAAGAGCAGTAAGACCATTTGGAGTGGTAAGGTATTAGGAGTCTAAAATGTCAAAAATGGAAATTTTAGACTCCTAAATACTTACATTGGAGACCAATTTGGGAGTCTAAAAATGGAAAATTGGATAGAAGGTATCAAATATAAAAGGTTGGGTTGACAGCAAAAAAGTATGGAAAAAAGGGAAAAGCGGACGGAAGAAAAAGTGGACAAAAGAAAAGGGGCATACGGAAGAACAATGGGACCACATAAAAAAATATTTTCTTTTTAAGTGTGATAACTTATTTATTTGTGCTTCAATTTTTACAAAACATATATCAAAATTTTTACTTTTTTATGATCTTTCATATGACACCAATATCACATATATAAAATTAAATGTATAAAATGATGTTCAAACTGCTAGAGTATTTTAGGCTGAAAAAATACATGAAACATAATGTTTTTATTTGAACCCAATTTTAAACCCAATTTATATTTTAATAGCAGAAAAAAGTACAAAAGAAATTAAAGATTTTTTTATTTTTTAACATCGGAATGTGCATTTTTTACACACGTGAGAAGGGAATCCAATGTGTTATGGATAGACACACAAGTTGAGAAGAGAATCCAATGTTCCAATAAGTTTGAACTCACTTCATCGAAAAACGTAAAAAAAAAACATTAATGAAATTTATTTTTTTTACATCGAAATGTGTCTTTTTTTATTTTATAATTATTCAAAGAAAAAATTAAAAGGAAAACATTACTTATAATAATTTAATTAATGTTTTACTAAATTGATATGTAAAAAAATGTGCAGTGTATTTTATTGACGGTGCTGGAATGCAGAGAAATAGGAGTAAGAACATTGTTTTCATACCACTCCAAATGGTCTAAGGGCAGTAGTGGGCAAAACCAGCTGGAGTACCTAGGTCATATTATATCTGGCCAAGGAGTATCAACTGATTCTAGTAAAGTACAAGATATGATAGATTGGCCTGTAACGCCTGTTCCCACTAATGTGAAAGGATTGAGGGGGTTCTTGGGTTTGACCGGGTACTGTAGAAGGTTTGTGACGGGATATAGTAGAATAGCCAAGCCTCTCATTGAGTTGCTGAAAAAAGAGGAGTTCAGATGGCCTCTTGAGGCCATAAAACCTTTTTGAAGAATTAAAACACACCATGACCTCACCCTGTGCTTGCCAACCCACATTTTGATCAACCTTTCATAATAGAAACTGATGCTTTTTGGCAGGGTCTTGGGCTATCCTAATGCAAGGAGGCAGACTACTAGTGGCATATATGAGTAAGGTACTTCCGGCTAGAAACCAAAACAAATCAGTATATGAAAGGGAGTTGATGGCGATTGCAGTAGCAGTGCAAAAATGGAGACCATACTTGATGGGCAGGTGTTTTGAGGTTCATACTGACCAAAAAAGCCACATATTTATGACACAGCAAAGAGTAATGGGGGATGAACAATACCCATTTCTGGATGTCTCATCAAAAGGTTTTCATTTCTATTTTAGGAATTACATATCACTCTTAAATGACAACTTAATCATCAATTATAAAAAATAAAGGGAAAGTACGGAAAAGGTACATGTGGTTGGCCCCTTTTTCATATAGAGACTTATGTTTCATTTTTTAACAAAGTAGGCTATGTGTTTAAACTAAACTATCTGCGCTTCTTTGCTATGAAGCAGCAGTCAATCCATGCAATTTTGGACGCAATTTTCACTATGGGTCATCCGGAAACAGTTTCTCTGTGCTTTAGTATAGGGGTAAGACTGCGTACATCCGCTAGAGATGCGGCACTGGGGTAAATGAAAATGAAATGATGAGGCTATGTGTTTAAATTTCATTATCACAGAAGGGGCCTGGCGCCTAACGCCGCTAGAAATCGTCGGAGCAAGATGATGAACAGTAACTCCGATTTTCAAATGCCCGAAAAAATAAAAGAAAAATAGTGGGAAATGCGCCTCGTCAGGGAGACCTCCAAATCATCTTCCTCTTTGCATTTTTCAAATCTGTTTAGATTATGTTTTAAAAATGAATTCGTTAATATAAAAAAAGATAGATGGTCTGCAGGTCGCCTTGATCAGGATTTTTCTTTGAATTTTCCAGGCACTTTCGAAAATCGAAGTTACTGTTCATCGTCTGCCTCCGACAATTTCTAATGGCATTAGACGCGGGGCACCTCTTGTGATAACACAATTGAAACACATGACCTACTTTGTTAAGAAATGAAACACATACCCCTATTTGAAAATGGGTCTAACCACAAGTACCTTTTCCATACTTTTCCCAAAAGTAATGCACTTATAACGTCACGTTTATCATCAACGATCTTATTACCGTGTCATTTTTTAATGAGAAACTTAAGTTGGGACGAAGGTAGTATGATGCAGCTTCTGTATGGAATATAAACAACTATCGGTGACACGTGGTCTAAATTATGAGAAACTTTCAAATACAACCCCTAATGTAATATGTAACATATGACCAAGTTCATTAGATGGAAACAAGTACCTTTACTCGAACAGTGCCATACTCGGTTTCGAAGGCAACAGTAGCCTGCAGGGGGGGAGACAATTATAGAAGTCAACCCAAACTTTTAAAATCACCGAGCTGCCAACATCTATGGAAGTCATCGAAGTAATATAACAGTAATAACACCATACCATTGTATCATAAAAACCGGCAAACAAAAAGGCAACTTTCAGTGCGGGCAAAAGTATAAACTGTTTTGCATGAGGACCCTAAATAAAGTTGATACATTATATACTCCCTCCGTCCCAAAAACAAATTCTCGGCTTCATTATTTGAATGTCCCAAAATGAAGTTTCCTTTTCCATATATGCAATACATAAATGTCAAAATCACTTGAACTTTTTCTTATTTTTCGTTTGGTTTGGCATAAAGGGCATACTTGGACAATGAAAACAAAAGTTTATCTTGCATCTATATGTGTGTAGGTCAAACATGGAACTTTTGTTTTTGAGACAAAGGTAGCATGTGTGTGTGTAAATATACCCAAATTAGGGAGGACAGTTCTTCTCCAGCCCCCAGCTCTAACCCTCCTCCCAGGGAAAAGCCGGATCATTTGGTACAAACCTCAAAGGAAATACTTCAAAGTCAAACTACATTTTTTAACGGGGAGGATAATGTTTTAGGAAAAAAATCTCTCATATCATATTTTTATACTATTATACTTATCAGTAAACAATACTGCCTACCATCTCCTTAAAACTAATCTATAACAGATAAAAGTATCTGCGTAACATAATTTTTGACAATTAAAGAAGGAAGACACGTCTAAAATTACATTAAGCAACTAATACAAAAAACTATCATGCCATGATAAACTATAAAGCTTTTCAAATGAGATGAAAATAACGAAGAACGCTATGGAAAGGCTCAAGTAGATTATATACCTCTCCTCTACCAAAAATTATGCCAGAGGTCCACATGGTTTTGTTTCCTGCTTCCTGGCGATCTGGTTTGAAGGTATCTTTCTGCTTCTTCAGCCAGCACTATATTAAAAAAATGGTGATTGACACGAAAACTTCATCCTTTCTGGTGTCTTATGTAGTCTCCAATAATTAAGTAATAAAGCATTATGGCGAATAGAGACATTATCTATGACTTATGAGAAATGGAAGTCTAATTTGCAGGATAGGGAAATTTATAGATTATAATATGAATAATACGGGCCCATTTGGTAAGGATATTTCGGGCTGAATTTTGTGAAGAGAAAATTAACATCCATTTGAACCGAATAAGTAAGTTAAACGCTACTTATTGTGCTAAGCATAATCCGTTTTACCAGGCGGAATAAGCAGGTTATGGCTAAATAAAGTTAATATAACACAACTGTGAGTCATTGGAAAGGGATTAAAAGCACATTATGCATTAGTTTGGAGAAAAAAGAGCAATTGATAAAGCCATGTTCAAATATCTATCAATGCACCAAAAAAAGAAATGCAAACACAGTGTAGTTAATATATAAAGAAGTCCAAAAGAATTGAACACACCTCACCAAATTTGGACCCACAAGCTTCTTTGTTTCCACAGAAGACCCAAGTATCACACAAACAAGGTCCGGAATTGCCGCTGCACATAGACCTGCAAGCTTGACAGCAATCCGCTGAAGAATTAAACTTAAATTCGGCTCCCCACTTCACGGCGGGGCCCCAAAGCTCCAAGTTATCAATCCCTTTGCAACACCCGTCACCCTCCTCTTCCGCGCCACTCTCCTCCTCCAAAGACTCAACCCTTGCACTGCTGCTTCTTGCTCTTAGAGCAGCTGACATGAAAGCATACACGACGGTGCAAGAAACCAGACCCATGACGAGGAGAGCCACGGGGGCCCATTTCGTGGGACCGGGGTCGTTCCCCTTCCGGCCCATTCGTGAGGATCAAGATTGAACTGCCGCTGAGATTTGGTGGGAAGTTGACTTGGTTATGAAAGTGCTGGGGAGAATCCTGACTTTCATTTCGTGTGACTGTACCCCAAAATGATCATGCTGTTACAATCCACTGAATCGGTGGAAAAGAAACAAAAGACGACACTATTTTCAAAATAATTACTATATTTTGGCTAAAGTGTTCAATTAATTCTTTATATAGGAGGTCTTGCCCGGTCGTCGTCAATAGGGGCGGTTCCCGAAAGAATTTTTTGATGAAATTTTTTTAGCATCTTCTTCCTTAAGTCTAGTTTACTCATACCAAATTTCAGCTAAAAATTCAACCAGGAAGGCAGTCAAATGATTTTTTGAAGATAATTGCGAAGTTAAACAGCGCAGTACATTTCGGAAAATCATTTGACTGCCTTCCCGGTTGAATTTTTAGTTGAAATTTGGTATGGGTAAACTAGACTTAATGAAAAAGATGCTCAAAAAATTTCATCAAAAAATTACACCGGGAACCGCCCCAATTAGCGACGGCCGGGCAGAACCTCCTATATAAGGGGCTAATTGAACACTTTAAGTTGGTTCAAGGGTTTATTTGACCCTTTAGCCTTATATTTTCTTGGATCCAAAACTCTTCCCGTCACGGTTCAAACCATTTTTTTCCAAAATAATTGTTTTACAAAATCCACAAACACTTTTTGTGACATGTAATATGATTGAACACTAGATTCTTTTTCTTACTTTGTTCAGAAAACACGTAGAAACAGGTGGAGATAAAAAAACTCTTTTATGCCTCTTCCATTCTCTACGGCATCTACGCAATCCAAAAAAGGTAGGCAGAAACTCAGATCATACGAAATTGGCCAGGACACCAAAGCAATTCCCCACATTGAGGAAGACAAAACATACCGGAGCAACAAGGCTCGGGAAAGAACCGTCATAGAATAGAACAAACACATCAAAACTCTTAGAGCGATGTTACCTTCAACCTAGTCAAAGAGAGAGTGACTACAAAGCGGCCCTCCTCTTTCCAATTGTTTGCTCATCCTGGTCGCACTACCAACATAAATCTCGATGCTTTGGTATTCAAAATGATGTTGCTGTAGACCCCTTGTAGCTTGGAGAATTGACTTAATATAAATGTCCGGTCTAGGTTGGTTTGATCTGATAAATGTCTTATCTATGTGTATTTTAGAATTATCAAAAGTCTGGTGTAGTCTGTTAAAGTCTTATATGATCTGGTCGGGTCTGTTTAAGTTTGGTCTGATCTGGTATGAGATTGAAAAATGTCCAAGTAAAAACATCCTAAATTTACTATGAACTATCTTCTATCTGCAGTTAAAGGAATCTGAATTTTACTAAGGCTTCACTTTTTAACACTTCTTTCATGTTTGTAGAATATTTTTAATATATCATTTCAGATTTAAGGTATGTGTTAAATAGGGTTTAGTGTCACGCCCCGGACCGCGTCCGTGCCACGTAGACAACCGCCGTACAACCCAATAAGAACAACATAGTTCATCCTTATCAAATCATACAAGGCGTCCGTTAAGTTCTATTGCCAAGCCGATTAGTAAACCCATACAATCAACATCAATATATATTAGTCAAACAAATGCGGAAAATAAGATATGTTTGATACTTAGCCACACGTGGCAAATACGGGCACACAGGCCCCCAAATGTTTTAATAGAAAACATTGTTAAAAATATCCATGAGCAGTTTATCAATGTTTGAAGAACAATGGAAGCACGAACCACGTCTTCCTCCTCGATCAGTCACCCTAGGCAAAGGTGCAGGTAGTAGGACTCTAGCCTTAACCTGAAAAAATGTGAGGGCCCCCGGAGGGGTCAGTACTTCACAGAAAGAAGTACTAGTGACAAGCAGGCTATATGAGGAATAACTAATGTTTCAGACACGAGACCCAAAAATAGGATGATACATAAATATATAGGTGTAACCACTGTTACCTCATTCCCAAGATATTGTATATACTTGTAAAATACTTGACCCGTAGGTCGTTTCCTCACAAAAGAAGTCTTTTAGAGATAAGGTGTTTACCCAACCTTTCCCCTTTCTTTCCTGAATGCCTAGCTCAAGGGCTACATTCTACCTTCATAATATCCTACCGAGTTTCGGGAGTGTTTACCGTCCCGGGGATGCTCAACCCCACCGAGTTTTAGGATTGTTTACCGTCCTGAGGATACTCAACCTCACCGAGTTCTTGGGATTGTTTACCGTCCTGAGGATACTCAACCTCACCGAGTTCTTTGGATTGTTTACCGTCCCGAGGATACTCAACCTCACCGAGTTTCTGGGATTGTTTACCGTCCCGAGGATACTCAACCTCACCGAGTTTTTGGGATTGTTTACCGTCCCGAGGATACTCAACCTCAACCTTATTCCTTACCAACCCTAACTTGGATATGGCTAACCTTTCGTTCACTTAACTATGGACAATACCTAGTCCTATAGTCTTGTAACAATCCTTAGTAACCAACGTGGACGGGTCCCACCTGATCGGTCCACGTTATCCTACTCAAAAACTACCCGTTTTGAGTATAACCCAATACCCGGTCGGGTATCAAACCTTACCCGGCCGGGTAGGGCGGGCAGTAGCCCCTGGATGCCAATTTTACTTGAGACCCGGTCGGGTCCATGACCTTACCCGGTCGGGTCTAGTGTGGCAGTGGCTTCTGGAGCCATTTTTAATCAATACCCGGTCGGGTATATACCCATACCCGGTCGGGTATCACCCTTGTCTCGGCGGTCAACGCCCGTTTGACCGCCCAAACGAAGTCCGATTAACGTGAAATTTTATACACATGTACTTCTTGTCATCCTTGATCCAAAAATACCATTTTGGATCCATGGAATATTGTACATAATAAGTTATCACATTTTAAATCATCAAACATACATAACATGCTTTTCAACTATGTTTTATGGTTAAACATGGCATAAGCAAATACTTGATTATCTTTAATCATTCCATAAAACATGTTTTTGATTACTTTAGGTAACCTCATGCCTTACGCAAAAGTTATAAAGCATATAGCCGTCTTCTCACCTTAAAAGAAGCTTATGAAGTTCTAGCCTTCCCTATTGAGCTCCGGTGAAACTCCGGTGAACTTCAACTAACTCCGGCGACAACTCCGGCGACCTCTTCAACCCCGTGAAAGTTCTTGAGATACCTTATACAAGTTAATAACAAGGTTTTATCATCATAAAACCCATATCAACACAAATAACCTCTAAAAGGTTATTTTCCGGCAAACCCGCCAACTTTGTTCTCTAAGTCCATTTTTGGACTTAGGACTTCCTTTCAAACCCCATTCCACACCATTCATCATGTAGAATTACCCTAGGAGTATGAAATATGATTAAAGAGAAGAAATGGGATTAATGAAGTCATTACCTTATTAACCCCAAGTTTTCCTACCCGAAACTCCTCTTTTCTCTTCTCTTTCCTCCCCCTCCTCCTTTTCCCTTAGCTTTGGTGCGAAAATGGTTGAAGAAGATGATGATTTTGATGAGCTTCTCTCACTTGGTTGATGCTGGATACGAATGGGAATAGTTGGTGTGATTGAGAATGCCTTTTTGGCATCTCTCACAATAATACTATGGCCAATGTCCCACCTTCCTATTGATTGAGCTCCCAATCAATTTCCTCCTTGTTTCCCCATGTCCTTGTGCGGCTCCCATGGACATTTGCAGCACTAAATTCGTGGGGTGGCCCCCACTTATGTGGGAGGTCATCCCTTTATGTCCCCAAGTGTACACTTGGTCCCGAAAGTTGTATTTTCTGGACTGTTTTAACTATATTTCATTTTATCGGGTAAAATGAAATATCTATCATTCTTCCAATTATTATCGGCTACAAGAATGAATGTATATCCCCTAGCTTTTAATTTGATGGTCTCCATAATTTATTATGGCTTTTGTCTGTCAGTACGACGGTACCGATAAATGGGCTTTATTTGCCCAAAAGGTTACTCACATAACTTCTATGGCCCAACAAGGATGTCCACCATTATACACATATTATCTTGACCCAAATGAATATAATATGTGGTCCCGATAAAATCGGGCGGCCCCCACTTCCGGTGTGGGCCCCACGTGAATTTTACTATTCACGCAAAAGAAATGATAAAAATTCACGATCACGTAAAATGCGTTTATTCATTTCTTGGGTTCAATACATAATTTGATAAAGTACAAATACTTGGGGGCGGTGTTACAAGTTCTACCCCCCTTATTTGGGATTTCGTCCCCGAAATCCACGTGTCTAGTCGAACAGAAATGGATACTGCTCCCTCATCAGGGTCTCCACTTCCCAAGTCTGCTCCTCGACACGATCACTCTTCCAAAGTACCTTCACCATCGGTACCTCTTTACTCCTTAGCTTCTTTACCTGTCGGTCCATGATCTTTACCGGCTGCACCGCATAGTGAAGGTCTTCCCGGATTTCTACCGGTGGTTTCTCAAGAATATGTGACGGGTCCCGTACATACTTCTTGAGCATAGAAACATGAAATACATTATGAATCTTTTCTAATTCTGGAGTTAACTGAAGCCGGTACGCTACAACCCCAATTCTTTCAATGATTTTGAATGGGCCTATGTAGCGTGGGTTAAGCTTACCCCGACTGAGGAACCTGATGATCCCTTTCCAAGGTGACACCCTCAAAAATACCTCATCGCCGACCTCGAACTCTAACGTCCTTCGTCATTTATCTGCATAGCTCTTCTGCCGATCTTGGGCAGGCTTGAGTCTATCCTGAATAACCCTCACCTTCTCCTTGGTGATTTCGACTAGCTCGATGCCCTCAAGCTTAGCCTCGCCTACCTCATCCCAACACAAAGGTGTCTGACATTTCCTCCCATACAATGCCTCGTATGGAGGCATGCCTATACTTGCTTGATAACTGTTGTTATAAGCAAATTCCACCAAAGCCAACTGGTTGTCCCAACTTCCTTGGAACTCTAAGGCACATGCCCTCAACATGTCCTCCAAAATCTGAATCACCCGTTCAGACTGCCCATCCGTTTGAGGGTGGAATGTCGTGCTGAACCTCAACTTCGTTCCCATG